GGTGATCAGCCCGGGGACAGGGTGGCTGGGCTGGAGCAGTGATGGAGCAGGGATCACTGGATGGGCTGGAATCGCTGTGAGGAGAGTGCCTGCTTGGTGGGAAGCATTGGGGGCTGCAAAGATGGGGTGGGGGGGCTGCAGCGTCCCCCCAGGGAGCAAGCAAGGGGCTGGGGGAAGCTCTTCACCCCCTCCTGCAGCGATGCCAAGCACGGCAACCCGCTGAGGGGGCAGCAGGGACCCCGGGCAGGGAGCACCCAGACCGTGCTGGGCAGGGGTGTGGGGAGCCACTTGTCCCCCTCCTGCTGAGGCTGTCACTGTGCCCCGGGGCCTGTGGTTTGGCGTGCTGGGGGAACACACCCCAAATTTGCTGCTCTGCTCCCATTCCTTCCCCTGCTCCAGGATGTGTGGTGGGGAGACGAGGGCTGGAGTGAGCAGAGATGAGGAGGGTGCTGGGAGGACGGGATGCTGCAGGACACCAAAGTGCCCCAATTCCTGGGGCTTCCCCCCACCGCAGCCCTGCCTGTGCCGCATTGCCGGGGACTGGCTGCAGTGTCTCCGTGCCTCAGTTTCCCCACGTGCCAGGGGATGCTGCGCCACAGGCACTGCCAGCTCTTTGTTCCCTGGCTGGTGGGGTGGGGTGGGTAGTGGTGGGGACGGTGGTCCCCGAGAGACCCCCAGCCATCCCACTGCCCCACCTGATTTTGTCCTGGGGTCAGTGGGACCAAAACCCCCTTGGTGTGGATCTGAACCCCGATTAACCAACCCCTGTGATTTGGGGTGCCTGTGTAGGTGGGGTGGGGCAGGGAAAATCCCTGCACCTGCTCCCAAAGGGGCTTTTCTTCATCTCCTGCCTGGAGAAAAGGGTGAGGGGACAGTGATGCCCCTTTCACAGTGCAGGACACCACGGGGTGCGAGAAAAGGTGGGAACCCACAGGGTGAGTGGGGCTGAGGCCCAGCAAACTCATTCTGTGGGTGAGACCACAGGCTCCACGTGGTGGCTCAGCCCTGACCCCACACAGTTCCCACTGATGGGGGCTCAGCACCACCGGGATCGCCTGCTGCCATCCCAGCTCATCCCAGGGGAAACCGAGGCACAGTGGGGCAGCTCAGCTCCATCCTTGTCCCCATCCCTGGCTGTGCCCCTTTCACTCCCCTCGCCCCACACTTTGCCAACAGCCCCAGGCATGAGGGGTCCTGGGCTGCTTCCCTGACCCCCCTCCTTTGCCTTCCAGCATCATTGAGAACCAGCAGGCGCTGACGACCTTGACCCGAGCTGACACCAGGATGCTGCGGGACCTCAGGAACCTGTGAGCACCCCGGGGAGGGGTCCCTGCCCAGGGAAATGGGACGAGGGAAGAGCTGCTGGAGGGGGGATCCCCAGAGCTCAATCCCACTGCAAGGAGTCACAGGGGATGCTCCCAGAACGGGGACTCAGGATGTCCACTCAGGTGCTCAGCCCTTCCCTCCTTTCAGCACCATCTCCAGGTCGGGGCTGCAGCACATCTCTGCCGATGCCTTCCTGGACACCCCCAGGCTGAGCCACGTGTGAGTCTCCCCTTCCCCACCTCCCTCCCCCCGTGTGGGGATCAGCCCCCGGTCCCAGGACCCAGGATCGATGCTGTCCTGGGGCACATCAGCCTGCCCGGGGGGGCCCTGCTGCTGAGTGGGAAAGCATCGATCCGGGCAGGAGTGCTGCCAGCCCCCCCGGGAGCCCCGTGCTGCCTGCTGCAGGAGGGGGGGACCCTGTCCTGGGGTGCGTGGGGCTCTTCCCTTGCAGGGAGGTGCCTGAAGGCTGGTGGCACGCCTGGCCGAGCTGGTTTTGCTTGGTCACCGTGTGACAGCAGCGGCTCCGGCACTGCCCCGTGCCACGGCCGGACCCTGGCGATGTTGGATGGGAGTTTGAGAGGGAAGGGGCGGCTGATGGGGTTTGTCCCAACAGGAATCTCTCCTCCAATGCACTGCAAAGCCTTTCCTGGAAAACCTTCCAACATCTGCCCCTGCAAGAGCTGTGAGTGATGAGGGAGAGGGGGGCGGTGGGTGCAGAGTAACTCCCAGTGGGGATGCACCCCCAAGTGACACAGAGGCGGGGACAGAGCTGGGGATGCGGTGAGATGGCAGCTCTCACACCCATGGGTATGGGGACAGGGGCAGGGGTGGCACATAGGGCACGTGTGACACAAAGCTGGGCCTGGGGGTGCCTCTGTTGGGACATGCACAAACATGTGGAGCTTGGAGCCCTTTTGAGCCCATGTTCTCTTCCCTGCTCCATCTCAGCATCTTGGTGGGAAATCCCTTCAACTGCTCCTGTGGCCTCCGCTGGCTGCAGCTGTGGCAGAGCAGCAGCCGGGCTGAGCTGGGGAACCAATCTCTGGGCTGCTGGGAGGGCAGCGTGCTGGTGCCCCTGGGCAGCCAGGTTCTCCACACCTGTGGTACGTGGCTGGGGACCCCCACGGGTTTGGCTCCTGGGTTTGTCCCCTGTCCCGAGCCGTTTGGCTGGGGATGGTGTGGGACACGTGGCTCACCCTTCCTGCCCCTGCAGACCCCCCGACCGTCCACATCGAGCCCCCTGAGGTGGTGCTGCGCCAAGGGGACAGCGTCAACCTCACCTGCCACGTCAGTGCCGACCCGCCGGCCACCGCAGAGTGGCTGGTCCCCGAGGTGGGACCCGAGCTGCTCGTTGTCACCAAGGCAAGCTCAGCCTTCCAGGGGCATGGCCAGGACCCCTCCCAGCAGCACTGACCCCCCCA